GAAGGTAAAGATATATTGGCTTGACCCGGTTGAGCACTCTGGGACGCTACCCCTCATGATGTACGCTATATAAATGCAAGTTGTTTTGTTGTTCTTGTGGTTGAGGTCAGTTTCTGATGATATTCCTTTCCTTGGTCGTCTTCTCTCAGTTACATGTCCACCCGTCTCAAGGTCTGAGTAATCACATCCTTGAGCACGGTAAGTGGAAAAACAAGTGGAGAAACAAAGGCTTGTGAATCAGACAAAGGAAGGGGAGGCAGAGTTAATCACACCTAAAAGAAAGAAGTAACATTGGAAGAGTGAAGTCGTTGTCATAGTTCCCAGTGGAATCGGATAATATCGATTTTATTGTATCTATGGTCTCAGTTTGAAGAATAAGTTAGGCTAAGTTGTTCAACTTGTTAACTGTTTATATTGATTGCTTAAGTAAACTATTGGACAATTACACAACCAATTGGTGGTCTCCTCCTGAATCTGTTGCAAATTGGCGAGCCAGCCAGGAGGAGACTGTATAATTGATCTACGTTTAACTGAGTAAGTGATATAGATAGGTTTCGAAACACTAGGTTCAAAACTGGTCGATCAGGACGAGAGAACTGTACTGCAATTTACAGGGATGATAGTGAGACCCTCCTATAGAGTAAAATGACCATGGAAGCCACAAGGGCTTTTGAGAAAAAGTTGTCCAGGATTGTGGGCAAGGAAGGATTAGCTCCTCTGATGTCCAAAGAGGGTCCAGTCTATAGGGAGATGCAAAGTCACCTAGATAAAGAAGTCTTTGATGGTCAGATTAAAGTGAAATCGACCAGACAGTTGTTAATGTATGCAACACATCTTTGTGTGGAGAGAAGTTGTGGAGAGAAGTGAGGAAAAAATAGAGCACATACATGAACCCTAAGAGATAAAACAAGTAAAAATAAAATCATTGGGCAAAATTTCCGAATTGCAGTCTCAGCTAGCCACTACTATGGCACAGTGGGTGAGGGCTGGGGTTACATTCAGAGAAAATTAGGAATTGAGAGAAGTGCAGAAATTGAAAGGGAGATTAAATGACATGCAGACTTTGAGAGCATCTTTCACAAAGCTGCCTTCAAACCTGGAATATCATAAGTGGTGTTAGATGTTATTACAACAATAGCGGGTACCGATTGAGCCCGGAGAATAGCTGAATGCCTACTGGCAAAGTATGGAGAGGAGGGTGATGATGACATAGATTGTGACATGCTAAAAGATGAGGCAGTTCATTATCATTATCCCTTGTATAAGGGACCCCTGTAGTATAATCAATCAGTAGAATCTCAGGCCACTGCTCCAGTTTGGGAAAGTAAGCCCCCTCTCGTTGAAGAGCCCATGCCAGTAGCCGCCAGAGTAAGAACTGACAGGTTTGATAATGTCAGAGTAGCACAGGGTCACACCATTGTAAATCAGCTGATAGCAAATACAGAGGTAAAAGCGTTGTTTTCTGAGTCAGGATCATAAGTATGGTTATTGGCCCGGCCGATGCTATGCACCATATGGTGTCCTTCGGAATGCAACACCCAGAATTAAGTGATGAAGAGCATGGGAAAGTAATAATGACGACATGTTCAGGAGATATCAGGAGCGCCGTCCCAGTTAATTTACCTGCTCTGGCAACAATTTTGGCAGAGGGGTATTTTAAATGTCTTGAGATGGGGATCAGGAATGTTTAATGGGGGAAGACCAGTAGAATGAATCAGGGACCCAAGGGGTTTTGCCTCATGTTTATTCAATGTGTATGAACTAGGCCTGCAGGCAGGGAGGCTTGTGAATCAGACCAAGGAAGGCGAGTCGGACTTAAAACACATCATCTCAATTTGAAGAAAAATTAGGCCAACCTGTTCAACTTGCTGATTGTTTATATTGATTGCTCAAATAAACTATTGAATAATTACACGACCAATTGGTGGTCTTCTCCTGAATCTGTTATAATGTGCAATCCTGGAATTGATTTAAACAGTTCATTTGTGATTCTAACGTCTCTCACTCTGGCTATAAAGTAATGTCAGACATATTTTTTGTTTGGCTCTTAGACTTTCCAGGCACCAAAATGTGAGTTTCAGACATTTGACAAGACATCAGATTTACCTGAATTCCAGGGGTGACTGATGTAGTTCTGTGGAGGACTTGCAAGTTCATCCATTTTCACAAGAGCAGGGAAATAGTTGGGAGAGATAGTAATACTTTTATGTTTATTGCTGACGTTTCCATTGAGTGGTAGGCATGGTTCACACTGGACATTTACAGTCAATTTGATGGTCTACATCAATTAAAAGAGATTATATTCTCTGAAGAGTCCAGTAATTTGCAAAGACCAGAAAATGATCATCATGATGAATGCCCTAAATCCAGTTTAACCCATAAATTCTTCCTCAGAAAGTTACCTGCAACATTAGCATCTGGGACTACACTTTGAAACGTCTCAATGATGTGATAAGGTGCTATATCAAATGCAAGGATTACTATTATTAATATTATTATTACTGGGGGATCATGTCTCCACTCTGATTGGGGCCATATCATTGATACAATGATAACTAGAAAGGAAAGAGTGGAGAATGGCTCAGGTACCCACTTCTGGAATAATCCTGATAAAACTCATAAGTACCAGCAGAACATAGGTACAAGGAAGCATAAAAATGACCTGATAAATGATATAACAAATGCAAAATGCTTTCAAACATTGACTTCAGCCCTCAGATTGGTCAGGTGGTATTTTGTTGCATCAACCATTCCAAAGTGTGCAATTCCTTTGTGGTAGGTGGGTAACCTTACATAACCTTGGCATTTAGAAAGGCACCCATCCAGAGATCATTGAGGAACTGTCCCATACAGTGGCTATGGATAAGGAAGGATTCCAACAGCCGGTGCTAGCAAAGGATGATCCAGTATTGACACAAGAGGTTTGTGTAAACCTCAATCATCTCCTTTTAGTGCCAATGCAAATTTAACCATTCACACATTCCTGCCCATTTTATGTCATTCCAAATCACTCACTGGTCAATTACCGTTGAAGTAGACATACTGTACATTTTATCTGTGTCCATTTGAGGTTATGTATTTACTTGATATTCTCGTACGAACATCCAATTCCATGTAGGAACACTCATATGGATGAATGTGCACATTATGTGGTGCAAATGGTTTAATTCTTGGCAATGGCAGAGTCTTTGTATTATTTAACATACACGTAAGAGAATCACAGCTGTTCATTCTTGTCTGTGTATATCAAATAATAATTTGACATGATACCTACAACCTGAAAATGTTTTTATGGTGTTAAAGCTGCGTTGGCCTTATCAGGGCTATATTGGCTGTGTCAGGGCTGTATTAGTGGTGCCAGAGCTAAATAAGAGCTATATTAGCTGTGCCTGTACCTTTCCTGTAAACAAAAATAGAAGTCGCTGGGAACACTCAGCAGGTCAGGCAGCATCTATGGAGAAAGGAAAGAGAGTCAACATTTTGGGTCCACGAACCTTCGTAGGACCTTTGTCTAGTTCTGACGAAGGGTGGTAGAACCGAAATGTTGACTCACTTTCCTTTCTCCATAGATGTTGCCTGACCTGCTGAGTGTTCCCAGCGACTTCTGTTTTTGTTTTCAGATTTCTAGCATCTGCAGTATTTTGTGTTTTGTTTATACCTTTCCTGTGTCAGGGGTCGCCCCTTCCCTTGCCTCCTTCAAGGCCCTCCTCAAGATCTTTCTCTTTTACCTCGTCTTTGGTCATTTTCACACCTCCACCCACCCCTTGCCCTCCAAACATGCTTGACTCCAGCCCCCACTCAGGTGCAAACCCTTCACTGTATTGACTATCAATGCTGTATCATGGCTATATTGACTGTCAGCACTATATTAGTGCTATTTTGACTATCAGGACAATATCAGCTCTGGATCAGGGCTATCTATGTTGAATGTATCTATATTCACTGTATCAGGGCTGCATGGACTGTATCAGGGCTATATTCACTGAATCAGAGCTATATTCACTGTATCAGAACTATATTGACTGTATCAGGGCTATATTGACTGTATCAGGGCTATATTCACTGTATCAGGGCTATATTGACTGTATCAGGGCTATATTGACTGTATCAGGGCTATATTGACTGTATCAGGGCTATATTGACTGTATCAGGGCTATATTGACTGTATGAGGGCTGTATTGACTGTATCAGGGCTTTGTGAACAGTATTAGAGTTGTGTGTAGGGACAGTGTGTGGGGCGGTGTATAGGGACAGTGTGTGAGGCGGTGTATAGGGACAGTGTGTGGGGCGGTGTAGAGGGACGGTGTATGGGGCGGTGTGTGTGTGGGGCGGTGTATAGGGACGGTGTGTGGGGCGGTGTATAGGGAGTGTGTGTGGGGCGGTGTATAGGGACGGTGTGTGGGGCGGTGTACAGGGACGGTGTGTGTGTGGGGCGGTGTATAGGGGCGGTGTGTGGGGCGGTGTATGGGGACGGTGTGTGGGGCGGTGTATAGGGTGTGTGGGCGGTGTATAGGGACAGTGTGTGGGGCGGTGTACGGGGGCGGTGTGTGAGGCGGTGTGTGGGGCGGTGTGTGAGGCGGTGTATGGGGGCGGTGTGTGGGGCGGTGTATGGGGACGGTGTGTGGGGCGGTGTATAGGGACGGTGTGTGGGGCGGTGTAGGGCGGTGTGTGGGCGGTGTAGGGCGGTGTGTGAGGCGGTGTATGGGGCGGTGTGTGAGGCGGTGTATGGGGGCGGTGTGTGGGGCGGTGTACGGGGGCGGTGTGTGGGGCGGTGTGTGAGGCGGTGTATGGGGGCGGTGTGTGGGGCGGTGTATAGGGACAGTGTGTGGGGCGGTGTACGGGGGCGGTGTGTGAGGCGGTGTGTGGGGCGGTGTGTGGGCGGTGTAGGGGGCGGTGTGTGGGGCGGTGTATAGGGACAGTGTGTGGGGCGGTGTATAGGTGCGGTGTGTGGGGCGGTGTATAGGGGCGGTGTGTGGGGCGGTGTACGGGGACGGTGTGTGGGGCGGTGTACGGGGCTGTGAGGCGCGCTCCCGCCGCTCGCTCCCGGGAACATGGCGGCTGTCGGGCTGTCGCTGCGGGTCTCCGGGGCGCTGAGGAGAGCGGCCCCGCGCCCCACCCCCCGCAACACTCAGGTGCGTGTCCCCCCCCCGCGGCGGCAGCTCGGGCTATGGTCTGGAATGTAAGACACGGCGAGGCCTGAGCCTCCCGGGGGGGCGGGGGGGGGACACGCGGGGCTGTGCGGCCCGGGGGCCGTGCGGGCCGCCCCGGGCCCGGGCCCGGGCTCGCTCTCAGGGTTAGAAAGTTTGGAAACTTGCGGCGAAGTCGTTCTCTTTCTCCTGTCCTACCGGGGAGTGAGGGAGGGAGGGAGTGAGGGAGGGAGTGAAGGAGGGAGTGAGGGAAGGAGGGAGTGAGGGAAGGAGGGAGTGAGGGAAGGAGGGAAGGAGGGAGTGAGGGAGTGAAGGAGGGAGTGAGGGAGTGAAGGAGGGAGTGAAGGAGGGAGTGAGTGAGTGAAGGAGGGAGTGAGTGAGGGAGTAAGTGAGTGAGGGAGTGAGTGAAGGAGTGAATGAAGGAGGGAGTGAGTGAAGGAGTGAGTGAGTGAGTGAGGGAGTGAGTGAGTGAAGGAGTGAGTGAGGGAGTAAGTGAGTGAGTGAAGGAGTGAGTGAGTGAAGGAGTGAGTGAGGGAGTGAGTGAGGGAGTGAAGGAGTGAGTGAGGGAGTAAGTGAGTGAAGGAAGGAGTGAGTGAGTGAAGGAGTAAGTGAGGGAAGGAGGGAGTGAGGGAGTGAGTGAGGGAGTGAAGGAGTGAAGTGAGTGAGTGAGTAAGTGAGGGAGTGAGTGACCTGTCACCTTACCCGGCTGTCAGCAGCCTCTGCCTATGTGGCAGGAGGACGAGGAGGAGGAGGAGGAGGAGGAGGACTCGTGACTGTCACAGTTGTGCCTTTTACTTTCTGTAACTTTCTGTTCCTGGAGATGATAATCTTTACCTCTGGTTTAGCGCCTTGTACATGGCACTGCTGCCGTGAGCGGCGGCCGCCTTGTGTCGCTCGAGGCTGGGCATTGCCTTCGCCCTACCATTTGTAGTAATAATAGTGAATAATAATAATAATAATCCTTGCGTTTGATATAGCGCCTTATCACGTCTTCGAGTAGTCTCAAAGCGCTTCACAGAATATACTGTAAAGTGAATTGATTTTGTGGACGAAACGCGGCAGCCAATTGTGTACAGCAGTGCCCTAAATACAGTCATGGGTTGAAATCGCCAATTTATTGTTATTTTTTTTTGAAGGAATTATTTCCCCCGGAAAAGCGATCCACCGATCGACTAACAACCGGGTTTCTATCTACTGCTCGGTAAACAGAGGTGTGTGGAGTAAGGAAACTTTCCCAATATTTCGCCCGGTCCGGGAATTGAACCCAGGTCTCTCGCTTATGAAGCGAGTGCTCTAACGACTGAGCTACAGGACTCCGACAACATTGTACAAGGATAATAATCCTTGCATTTGATATAGTGCCTTATCACAATAATAGTAGATAGACGTTCGAGAGTTTGTACAGAAACTTAATTTTAAAACGCAGCGCTGCCTCAGGTTCTGTGCAGTATCAGCTTGCGACTCTGGATGATACATATATTATCGTGTTGTTGCTCAAGAATTAGGGTTGTTAATGGTGAAATAAATGCAAGGTTATAATTTGAAGTAATAATAGTAATAATAATGCTTGCATTTGATATACTGATTGGGTCAGGATGCTGCAAAGCACTTCACAGGATTCACTGTAAAGTGCAGGGACCGTACTTTGCAGGCGAAGTAGAAAGACATTTAAAAACCATTGCGTAATCTCCCTGAATTGAGTTCTAATCTCTCTTCTTTGTCCCTCTCTGTGTTTAATGTTTTGGTATTTACTGCTGTTTTGATCTTGTTGACTATTTCTATCTCAGAATGTTACTCCTTACTTTTTTTTGTTTTTTGCAATGGAATTCAGAACCACGTTTCGAAAGTTGTTTAATTGTTTCAAATGTGTCCCGATCACCCTGGGAGCAATGCTGTCAGTCTCGGAAATAGAAAAGAGCAAAAAGGTGGGGGTAGATCCAGCACAAGGTAAAAACCTGAATAAATGTTGGCTGCACCCAGTTAAAGGTAGCCACTTGGAGTAAATGGATATTGTTGGTACTTTTATGATTAAATTACAGTGGTTTGAGTATACAATTTTCACCACCTTAACATTTTTGAAGAGTTGCCACGGTCATGAAAAATATTTGTCAGCCTATTTAAGTTTGTTTACAAATATACAATACAACATCACAAATCTCGTTGATAAACATTGTGGTGAAAGTAACATTTGACCATAATTTGTCCCTCAATTTTTATTTCTATCAGCAATGCAAAAGTCAACATTTGAAACGGAGCTTGTCTGAAATGTTGCCTTTGTCGTTGCCATGAATATTGTTAATTATAAGAGTTCATTCCAGTCACCCTTAGCTCAATTCACTGTTATTTTATAGACCTGTGATTAGATATTCGTCGAGACAATTCTCTGTCTTTTAAAAACATTTCTTGTGTATGATTACATATCCCACCTCATCTTAGGGATAGTCCAAAAGACAAACCAACAAATCATGCCACCAAGGACTTCACTAGGTTGAAGTAAGCAGCTAAGCAGATTTTGCTGAAGTAAATTAGCTTCCAGTTTACCTCAGTGGAGATCTTTAAGAATTGTTATGCTGCACAATTCTTTTTACTGTTCAAGCCCAAGAATACGTGTTTTTTGAAAAAAACGTTATATTTGTGTAAATCCAATGTTGGAGGGTTTATAAGATATGAGGTGAACCAAGCTCGCAGCAGAAAATCAAAGCACACTTCTCTCTCTCTGGACTTAAGGAGTTTTTTGAGAATATAATTGATTTCAAAAATAAAAAAAAGTTTCAAATTGAAAAGATGAGAGGATTTTGTAACCTTTTGACTTTGTTCGTGGAGTAAACAATTTGCTACTTTTTGCTCAAGTCGGTATTGCAGGTTGTTGGCAAGTTTGGGGACATTGCCATCAAGGGCAGAGTTGTAATGTAAATTTGTCATCTATCTGATAGGATTAGTTAGAGACTAAATGAATGCAAGGTCATCTCGGAATGGGGGGCAAGAGTTTGTTTATCAGTGATAACATTTGGACTCAGCAATGCTTTGGGTGATAGGAGTGAATGGGAATTTTCTTTTAAAAAGTGCTTTAAATATTTGTTTTTCTTTTTTGCTCTCCAGTTTTCTCGACCTTGCTGATGGTGTAGACTCATGCTGAGACATGGTTCAATAAATGCTGGCTACCCTCCATTACCTTGCCCAAATGACCATTCTTCACATGAAACCCTCAATAATAACAGTAATAATAATCCTTGCATTTGATACAGCGCCTTATCACGTCTTCGAGATGTCTCAAAGCGCTTCACAGAATATGCTGTAAAGTGAATCGACTGTATATTTTGTCGGTGAAACACAGCAGCCAATTGCGCACAGCAGTGTCCCACAAACAATCGTGTCACTAGTGTCCGAAGGCTGTGCCTTCTGGGGAAATTAGAGATGAGCATGTTCTTGCTTGTCTTGCACATATTTGTATACTTTCCAACACTTCCTCTGGATTGTGAGCAAGAACATTGACTGTTTTGTTTCCCTCTTAAGACTAGTGAATGCTGAATGCTGAGCACCGCTAAAGCTACTCTACAAAGACTAGTTAACTCAGCATAAACTGCGAACTTGGGACTCGGAATTGAACTTTGTAATTTAGTTGTCTATGGCTTTACCAGTTTATTCATTGATCAATGTATTTACCAATAGCGCTATCAAGAAAGCTAAAAATTAACCACATGTACAGATTATTTTGTGGATTGGGCTGAGATGTTAAACCGTTCCATTTGTCTGTTCAGGTGGATGTTAAGTTATACAGAACTGGATGGCTGATAGACAGTATTTCCTTCGATCTGCTGGCAGTATAAGAGTTAACAAGGCGACTTGTATTTTAAGAATTAATGCACAACTCCTGCAATAATGAACCTATGAAATTTTTATGGGAAAATTTGATTTAGGTTTGAAGGTGTTAGATTTTTATGTAATATTCAATTGTGTTTTGTTTATGGATCAATTTATCATGTCCTGCTGGAATGCAATAACAGCAATGTAGAGACACTTGAAGACAGAAAGTGAAAGTGTTTCTCACAGGTAAAAGAACAATTGGAACACACAACACCGAGAGCAATATTTTATTTATTCTATGGACTGAGTTTAACATTATTGTAGAACTGAAAATGTTGACTCTGTTGTAGTTTTATATTGTTTCACTGACCTCATTTATATTTAGTGGAGTTCTGTAGCTCAGTGTTTGGAGCACTTGCCTCACAAGTGAGAGACCTGGGTTCGATTCCTGGCAGGGCGAAAGCTTGGGCAAGTTTCCTTACTCCACACGGCTGATAATAATCCCTCAAGAAAAAAACCCAATAATAAATTGGTCACTTCGATCCACGACTGTTTGTGGGACACCTTCTGTGCGCAATTGGCTGCCGCATTTCGCCCACACATATACAGTCAATTCACTTTACAGTATATTCTGTGAAGCGCTTTGATATGTCTAGAAGACATGAAAAGCGCTATATCAAATGCAGGTATTATTATTATTTACTACACTGCTTGACCTCAGGAATTAATACCGATACATAAAATGAATGAGGTTTGTGTAATGGTGAAAGTGACTCAGATTGTTGAGGATTGTATCTATTCCATGTTTTATTTTGTTAACAACAAAGCATTATATACAATTGACATTGTGGTTTCAAGAGCAATGCTGATACACCTGTGTGTTGAGACATGTTCATTGGACTTTCCTCTCAGGAGGTTTACCAAGTGTCACACCATGTTGATGTTCTGCTCTGTCGAAATTTACTGAAAAAAATAAGGGAAAAGAGTATTATGTCAAACCAACGCCCCAGCAATGAAAATACGCAAATGAGAAGTGCTACAGTTGGCCTCAGAACCATAGAGCGAAGTGGAAATACAAAATCAGGGTTCCCACCTCTGATCTGTATATGTAATAGTCCTTGCTGTAAAGTGCCTCGTTTGTGTGCATGTCAGGGTTTGGCTTAGCAGGGTTTCCCAAAAGT